CTAATCCTACCAACCAGGCGTCCAAAGGTGACATGGAGGAGATCGGACGAGGAAGAAATGAAAGCTAATGGGTAGTCATGGAACCAGGTTAAAAAGACTACAGCGAACAGAAAGAAATAGCGACACACTACTGAAGCCTTATGTTACAGTAGGAACCAAAGGGACTAATAATAAGTAATGACAACAATAATCCTACTATATTCAGTGTAATGCGTTGGTCAGTACATTAGGAAAAGAAACATGCTAAGAAAAACGTTAGCATATTTTCATTTCTTGTAAAATTCGTGTTCTGTAGAAGCTATCAATCTATTCATGTCAGTGACATCTTAATTATGCGTGATAATTCTAGACACACCAGTTCAATCCTCAAGCTTATAAATGAAGCACAGAACAGCATATCCGTGGCGTGAACAGAAGACTAAGGTGGTTGCTTGTTCTTATCAGAGTTACTGATTAGTTGACGACAGAATGGGTCTTTAAATTGATCTGTCTACACCAACTCTCAAATATCTGTCAATATCCGAAGTATCACAGCCTTAATCTTCTTCAGTACAGGTGAGTGTCAGTCAGACGCTTATTCAATAGAACTCAAAGAATAAATGTTAATAGTGCTTGGAAAGAGGAGACACGAATATTGACTGAAACGGTGTTAAAAATAACTAAACATTGAGATTAATTAGTCGACAAAAAGTAGCCATAGCGTGAAAACCTGCTCTTCAATTTAACCCGAAGTAAGATGCTCTCACCAGTCTTCCGTACAAAGGTGGCTCTCAAGGAGAAATGCTCAAGCAAAAGCTTAACGCTACTATCAGAAAGACTTACTATGCTCTTGGTATCTGATTAACAGAAATCACCATATCTGTATACTCTGTGCAACCCCCAAGACATGTGGACGATAATGCCGCACTCTACTGAATCTGGGAATTCAAATGACAAATGTATAGGGAGGACACATAAATCAATACATGTAATGACCTTGAAGCATATTTCTGAACCCAAAATCTTTGGCAGCAGACTTCCAAGTCCTTCAGCTGGGGAATACGACTTTCAGATAGGCAACAGGATTGACTTTTCTACATCCTTAAGACCTAGTTACAAAACCTGTTGAGCGGGGGGTCCTTAAAGTTTTCGACGCTTTGGCTATTGGAAAGCTTAGGCCACTTTTGTGTGCTCAAAAACAATTAGTCATCCCATTTCATCTCCTTAAGTAAATTCAACTCTGAAACCAAGTTTGATGTACCATTATCTTCGCTCTAATGGTTTTCATCATTACTTCGGTCTTTCATTTAGACTTCCTACTTGATTTCTCTTCATATTCTCACCTCTCATCTCCTTAAAAATTTTAAAATAACTACCTACGACAAGCGCGTGTGTGATCAGATTGTTCGAAATATGTAAGGCAAATACAATGTATGAAGCGGACAAACTACGCCAATGTTTAAAAAGGGAACCAGTTTTAATAAACTACATATTATTTTGCTGATTTTTTTCCAACAAATCTGAGGACTGGTACTCTGAAGTGAGTTATGTTTCAGATGGAACAGTCCACGTGCTAAATAGATGACTTCTTATTTATATGCAAAAGCAAGACGGAGACAGAAGCATTGATAAAGAGCTTCAATTCATGTTATCCAAACCTGACTCACAATTAGGTATGAAGAAAACAATATGATCAAATTCTTTGGTGTCTCACTATCTAAAAAAATCGGTGAGTTTATCGAATGGTCCTCGTATAAAATAGCTTCCATGGATCAAAGAGGACCTTCTTTCGAAGAGCTTTTTCCCTACCTAAGGCAAAATAAATGCAGTCAGAACGACGTTGTATAGATCAGCTCGATTGTGTCTTCAGGACCAAATAAATGGGTCGTAAGGAGAGGCGTCTGTCGACCCGAGTAATTGAGCACATGACCAAATAGCTAACCCATACCGAAAAGACAACCTTGAGGAGTTTGACAACTAAACATATAATGGACTGCGGACTTGATATTGATACCTGTAATTTCTTGATGATTATCACTGGACAGCAGAATAAGTTGCCTATGGTTGCAATAGGTTCTCTGGTTCGAGTTGTCAAAACAAATCTTTGTCTTCAGAACGAAGTGGTAGTCAGGTTGGATCTAACACAATAGGAATTAAAACGTCATGTTATCATATTTGCTCTTCCTTGCTTGTTGTTTTCCTTGAGTTATTACCTCCATTTTACATTTTGGTTTTCCGTTCCTCATTTGTTTCACTCAATTAACCTACTTCATATGGCTAGTATTATCGTAATTATCTGTCTGAACATATATCCAATTTTCTAATGATGTCTTCTTGAATGACTACTAATTATTCTATTGTGAATGATGTAGCCTGCCCTCAACTGATTCATTTCTCCTCTCAGTGTCACCATTGTTACTTTTTTAATGATAGTATTCATCATGGACTGAAGCTGGTTGGAGAACCATCGAAAATTTGGGAGCTCTGAATAGCTGCTTCGTCCTATGGGACTCCTCAAAAGTACGCATCCACGACCCCATCAGGGATCAAACTTAGGACCCTCGATTCTACGGCAAACTCCCTAGCCATTCACTCAATCGCTTATAGCTCAGTTGTACACAGTTTCGCACTTCTGTAAATTCACAAAGCAGTGTGACTATCCACTAAAGTCTTCAGCTGGCATTCGTTTAACTTCTGACAGGTTGACTATCTTGATCACGGTCTTTATAATAATAATGACTTTATTCCAAACAATATATATGATGCAGTGTGGAATTCTCAGCATGTAATAATTTAACAGATTCACCTCCAAAACAATATTCTGAAACAAATTGTCATTGCATCTGAATGATGTTCATAATAACATTATTACAAGTAATGATATAAAGTAGCTAGTTTGTGCTGGATTACCGCCTGGTGTTTATTGGTGGTGGTTCATTTACCCAGTAGAAGAATGAACTATTCCAGATAAATATCCAAAGGAAAGAAAAAGTCAATTTCTGTTTAACATGACATTTTTCCTCGTTTTGTTATTACTTCGAAAGACGACTAGTTAAGAACATTTGAAAAGTCTGCAGGAGTACGTGAAAGTTTCTGAGGACATAACTTGTTTTAGGTAGATTATCACTTCGCTCTTCCCGAATAAATAAACACATCGTAAGTTACTGAATTATTTCTAACTGTATATTTTAAAATCAACAAATCTGCCAGATTGTACATATATGCACAAGTAAATGTCTATATAACAAAATTAAAAACTGCCAGGAAAGGAGAATACAGTCAAAAGAAAAAAAAATGTTTGCTTTATGTTGAACCTTATTTCTGATGACATCAAAATGTTTTTAAATTCGTTCACTGTCAGTGTGGTGACCTTTTTAAATGAGAGATTTTCCATAGAACAACAAAACAATGACATATGGGTATAATTTCAAAGATTTACTACTAATATGGCCGTTTTGTAAGTCTCAGTGACAAAAGCTCTAGTCTTCTGACATCACCGTTGAGCATATATATATATGTATATAAATCAACGCTATGCTGTATAAACATTTGCTGATCACACCTACAATTTGGTTGTTAGGCTGGGTAGCTACAAACCTATATAGTATCCTTGAGGACGGTTTTTTGTTTGTCTGTGCTGATGTACAAAATGTCTTTAAACCCCAAAATAAAATTCACGGATTCTCAAACATTCAAAGAAGCGCAGTTTGACTCTACGATCAAATATGCCATTGTGATTCTAAAAGATCAAATCTCAGTTCATGTTTGTAATTACAAAATGTGCCTATTTATACGCTTCACAGAAATTTACAGCATTAAATTTATGAATAAAGTTCAGAAAACTTAGCTAACTAAAACAATTTTCATTTTATATCAAGAAAATGAAAATCAGGAAAATTTACTGTAATATTTTGTGTACTGATTGTGAAATGTTGTTTTCTTCGGAACTTAATAAAGTCAGAATAGTTCCATATTATTTCCTTTATTTGATATAACGCACAGTGAAATAGTATCATTTACTGGAAGGTGTTTCGAACACCTGTTGTTGGTCACAATCGCATTAAGGTAATCACAACTTTGGACACCTTGCTTTGATATTAATGGGAATAATGCAGAACCCGTTCAATATGAATATACCTAGTGCTACTGAGACCAAAAAATGATAAGCGGCAACAAATGAGCCTGTGTCACAGGTTTAGCAATTACTTTGATATAAAATAGACTAGTTGAAAATACTACATTTTTGTGTGACGCGTCAAATGAATAATTCTTGTATGGAATCACCTTCTATAACTGTTATGTTCCTGAATCACAATCATGGTCGCAAATGCGAAACAATTTCTTTCTATAAATATTAGGATAACTGGATAGGTTGATCTCAAATAAACCAAACATTCACAAGCCAAGTTGTCTCCTCTAGCTATCCTCTTTACCATTGTATTACTACACATTCAAAGACTATCGACATCAAGGTTGATAGTATGCATTACTTTGAATAAATTACAGAGCAGAAGTGGTTGGACAACTCATTCACAGCTTGCAACTTTGGATCGATAAGGGACAAATACAACTCCAATCAACTGTAAAATCTGAAAATATGGCAGAGAAAATGCAACCTATTTTTATCTTGAATAAGTATTTTCTTTTGCAAAAAGTATATCTTTCTTCTGGGTGGCTATCAAAAACACCTACAATTCCTACATTCCAAGGTGATATGAGTCCTGTAGAAAAGTGCTCCGAATTGGCGTCAACAGAAATCGATGACATTTGAATAAAAATTCACATTTGAAACAGTCAAAAAAAACTATTTTTCTGGCTGGTTGCTGTTTTTTCCTAAGATTTTATGATACATATCACTTGTATATATGTATATTCTGTACAATAAGCATTTGAACAGACACAGATAACGTGTTAGCCCATATGCACAGCAAATTGCAACCATCAAATAATATTTAAACTACTCTTAAAGGTATGAACAAAGCAATATATATCTTTTTGATGAAAAGGCACTGCCAACTTACCGCAAAACGTGCTAATATATTTGCTCCAGCTCCTTCTCCAAAAAGAACAACTTGTTTTATTCTATAGAGAAATCAAGACCAAAAACATGGATCGTTATAATTGTGGAAATATCTGGTAAAAACAAGGATAAATTAATTTGAGGTTGAATGGACTCAAGCATTTTTTACCCAAAATTAGACTTTATGATACGTAGCTGATCAGTCTTCAAATTAATATACTAGCTTTTGTATGCAATAAGATGTGAAAATGCTTATTGTTAATTCTTGGGAGGTTCATCTACGACTGTCAATCATGAATACCGCACCAGTGCTGACTGTCTGTTTTAACCACAGAATTTATAACAGGATTCCAACATATGATGAATAGGCCAAAATTCAGGCTTTTTAATCTATCATCCACTGTTCAACGAATCCTTCTAAAAAATGGATATTATTGTATTCGCATATGAAACAAAATTACTTGTTCAGTGTGATCCACTACTAGTAACGAATGTTTCTGAATCCCTGAAATAATAAATACTTTTATGATATTACAACGGCGACAGATGTAAAACCTACTGATCATTTATTATAACCATGTTACAATCTTTTTTAAGCGCCAAGCATCAGTACTAAAATCTGTGTTACGGAGTCAACTAAATGGCTTTAATTTTCAAACTTAACTCATTTTAAACTGAAATGAGATCTGACTAGGCGACTAGTTTTATGGTGATGAGCTGAGAGTTACACATCACTCATTGACATAAAAGCAAAATACAACTTAGTAACTATATGAAATCGATGCTTTGTAACCAGTTAACTTCAGTAGCACATTTTGTTGAACTCTAACTGGTTTGAATCACTATAGGATTTCTTTTAACTCTATTCATCGTCACCGTAGAAAATATGGTGTAATAAGATTATTGAAATTATCTAAGTCCCTACTGAAACGTTAAATTTCGATTTTATTTCATAAAGTCTTTAGCAAAGATATTATTCCAAGAATAATAAAAACTAATTTATCTTCAACAGGATGAAAAGCAATAAAAAAAAACCAAGTGCATAAAATAACTGGTTGCAACGAATCAAATCAAATTACACAAGTTGTCAACATTATTATTTCTTTTTTCCTTGAGCTTCCTGTTTAACTACTTTTCCTAAATAACTTGTTTATTGAATTAAGTAGTAAAGCATTAATTACATCTGATTTCCATGTTCATAAGAAAATAACAAACAAAGTTAATGAATATAGGTAGAGAGTGATGAGTGATGAGAGCCTAAGTGTAATTTATTTCCCCATCTGATTTTGACACAGTTTAATTTCCCGCATTATGATTTAATATCAAACTGTATGACAGATATGAGTCGACAGTAGGTTCAAAAATGTTACACATATGTATCTACTACGTTATTCCCACCAAGTTCATATTCTTACGAAATTACTTACTATGCTTGCTGCAAACTTTGAGTGCAATACAAAATTAATTCTTATATCATTTTGATGTTTGATTATCTTAGATAGCTGTGATTTAGCAGGCTGGCATTATTGATACTGGATTTGGACCGTAGCAGGATTCAAACCAAAGGTATACAGTTAGAATTGTAAAAAGAATATAAATCATGAAGCTTACAATAGACCCTCAAATACGCCTTTTATGGTAATGAGTTTTATTCTGAAAGTTTTGTGCCTTATCTGCTGTTCGATTCAAGTGATAGCCATAGGTTTTGAACTGACAAGATGGGTAACTTTTATAGGTTTATAAAGTTATGCTGTCACTAATCGATTAAATGATGCTGAATTGAAATTTGGATGGACCTCAGATTAAAGTGGCTTTTTTATTGATACAGCCTGTGATTACTTCATCTTACTTTTTCTCTACAAATCCTTATGATAACCTCAGTTAGAAACCTTAAAAAGTCACAAGTTTAATCTGAAGTTTGCTGGTCCGAATTTTATTCTCTTTAACTACCTTCATATCAGTCACTCATTAACAATTTTCCTTATCCAATAATGAGGAAACAGTTTTGACAACTTTATGGTGAATCTTCTTCAGATCATTAAACATCTTCATATGACTTATATTGATCACATTGCAACTTTTTCCATATTTTTCATATTTTTGTTGTTCATGAATTGATCGTTGAAGGATAGTCCACTTAGTTGTTGAAATTTAGAAACTGACTGAAGTTTACTGATCAGTTTAGTTTAGTGGCCATACTGCAAGCTACATTGACGGATCTGAACTATCATCAAAGACCTAATGGTAGCGCCAACTGGCAAATTTCGACTACTCCATTCATGGAATCTGACCCTAGGGTGAGTTGTTGACACTTCTCCTAAACAGATCTCCAGGAAAACCTTTGAACTCGAAGGTAAATGAGACAACTTTGTTACTTCGAATGCACTTAAGTTTCGTCAACATTGCGTACATGTGTTTCTGATGGATACTGATAAACATGAAATCAAAATGAAAACTATCTTACTATCTCCTAGTTCGGTCAATTTTCTTCATCGTTTCATTTTAAATTACCCTTGTCAATTAGTCAGCAAAGCAAACCATTAATTATATTCTTCATATAAGACTGGTGATTGCAGAAAAACAGACCTTCAAATGATTGGCTAGCAAGTAATAAATTCATAATCAGAGTGACCTACTAAGTCTTCCTCAAAATGTAATTAACCGTCATATAACAAGCTGGTCTACAGTGGACCATGAACTGTAAGCTACATCAGTGTGGAAATCGACCGTATTATTTTAGTTGTTTTGTAAAAAATAAGGTTGTTTCGTTGGGCTTCTCAACCAAATGAACTCAACGAAAGTGACCAGTTTTAACAAACTTCCAACTATCTCAATCTCTTTGTCATCATTTACAGTTAAACTTAGAATAAAGTGAATGGTGCTTCTGTAAGCCGATTTCCTTATGGTAAGTTAGTGAAAACTTGACCGGTCTGTTGTCAATTAGTCTTCTAATAGTTAATATTATGCAACCAACAAATTATTTCAGGCAAAGTAAAGACTAGCGTGCAGCTGGATCTATGAAAGCAAATACAGTTTGTCTTGACAAAAATGTTTGTAGTGAAATTTGTGTTTCACAATTTATCCTAAAAGAATTGCCTAAAAAAGTTTTTCTCTGTAATAAATTCACAACTGATTACTGTAAAGCTTTCGAAGAGATTCACGTAATTAACTCTACTCATATATTCTGTGAATAATGTTAACTTTTATGGAACGCATAGGACAAATATTCTGATTATGGTCGTGTTTTGTTATTGTTCACTGAAATTCTCAAACAGAAATAAAGCAAGACAACTCCAAAATATTTGATCAACTTCATGTAGATAAGATTTTAGAAAACAATCAGATGACCGACAAACATCAGAGTAGAAAACGATGAAAACATACGAATGGAAGATAAAAATTCATGGGATAGCTCAGAGTACATCATTTATAATTTAAATAATAAGCATGTGTCTAATATGATTGATTTTTTGCCATGTTTCTCAAGATCTTTAACTATTCAATCATGCCATAACCAGAATCCTCATAGTATACTAACTAACGAAATGATGTGTAATTTTTTCACTGGGATAAGAACTCTATGCTCAAAAGACAAACAGAAAGAAGAATACGGTATCATTAAGAAGGCATTTACTGAGTTTCATATAGGTGGATGGTGCATATTTATCTATCTAGGCGCAAGTAAATATAAGCACTCACACTTGAATGATATGAGCAACAGGATTCTGTATTGGACACTCTAGTGAACCAGATCAGGAGTTTGTGAGATGTAGTGACGCAGACAAAGAAGCTATCTCAGCTTTATCTAATATATCAGCCCAGAAAAAGAGACCACTAATACCAACCTTTAACCTTGGATCTATTCACAGGATTTCCTTTATTGTTACTGAACTACATGGAATGTCGGCCAAATTTTTTAAGTGTTTCCCGACAAATAAGGTTGAGGACTCATTCCGAAGCAAAATGTTTCCGCAAAATCCCAACTATTTATTCTAATATTATTATTATTTTTATTTATTGTTTGACCGTTAGGTTCCTAGCAGAAAATAGGGCTTCAGTAGCACGTCTCAATTTCACTCTCTTCTCTACAAACTTTTGAACCCGTTTCCAAGACAGCTTACAAGCTCTCATTTCTTCCTCACACGATCACCTCAATGTCAATCTCACCTCGGACGTCCAACTCACCGTTTCCCACCTGGGTTCCACTCGAGTGTTTAGCGCGTGATGTCTCCAGTCGGCCTTCTCCGTGTATACCCAATCCATCTACGCTGCCTTCTGCATCATTGTGAGGTGATAGGTTCTTGGTTGGTTCGCTGTCGGGCCAGAGTTCCTCCTTGCTTATTCTTAGTATCCTGGCCATCTGAGCTTTAGTACCGAGCGTATGCAGTTGTTGATGAATGTCTGTAGTTTGTTGCAAATGCTTTTCATAACACGCCGCCAAGTCTCCCAACCATCACATAGAAGCATTACATTGACATTGGTGTTGAAAATCCGGATCTTGTTCACGCTGTATGCTGGGTGTAGTGCAGTTGAGTGCAGTGCAGTAGATCTTCACGCTGATTTCAGATTAATGAAAGCTTGTCTTGCTGTCTTTCCAATCCTCACTGGCTTTGACTTCCTCATGTGTGCGTGTACCGCCTGTAGTTGAAAAGATGCAGCCTTGCCTAGGAAGGTAGATAAAAGAGACTACTTCCTATAGATTTCTCCCTTTGATGGTGATTGGTGTTTGTAGTTGTTCTTGTTGGTTGGGTATCTTCATCAACTCCGTCGTCTCTACGTTCCCTTGAAGTCCCATCTTCCTTCGCCACCTCACCTCTTCTGTCAAATTGTTAGTTTTCACCTGTAGATCTTCAACTTCGTGTGACACTAGACACAAGTCATCCGCGAAATCCAAATCTTCGAGGATATTTTCCCCGATACAGCCTATCCCCCTCTTCTCGCTCCTCACTATTTGCCACCTGATCCAGTCAACCACAATCAGGAAGATCATGGGTGATAGTAGGTGGCAGCCTTGTTTCACTCCTGTCTTCACTTCAAAAGCATCACTGACCTGTCCATTGGC